CAGAACGGTGTCAGAATACATGGGTGAGTCCAGCATCGTAAAGGTTGTGAAGGGACTGTCTCGGCGTGGGGTGAAGGGGTGTATTGTCTACGACGCGGCAGAGACGGACAATCGCCTCTCTACTTGTTTGCCTCCTCTTGAATGGGGCATGCTTGTTGTGACACCGCCAGAAGCAAAGATACACGGACACTGGGCGAGCGAAAGGAGAGCCGCACGAATTGTGATGGATTCTCCTGACGAAAGCGATGCGGGGGCAATGTGCATTTGGATGTGGCGTGATCAGCCCGTGCAGCAGCAAGCGGAATAGTGGCGCGAGGTGAGGGGTCACATGGATACAGCGGGACCGCTTCTTCGCGACATCCTTCGCGACATTATACTGCACGGATTGAGAAGTGCCACAGCGCTGTGGATGGGACGAACTTCTCGAGAAGCAAGTATTACTTTGGTTTTTGTATATACAAAATGTGGGATGATAATACGGCGCCCGAATATGTTGCGAAGATTTTCCGAGTACGAGGAGAGCGCAATGGTGAGTTGTCTTTCAATGCACCGATATCTGCCCACCTCTGAGGTAAAATATTACGCGGGTTAGCAAAGTTAGTGCGGCCGCATGATTTTAATTTGATCGTATGGAGGCTCAAGGATTATCTCATATCCGAAAACCCTGGGAGGTGTGCCGTGTTTGCTTTTTTGAATGAGGCTTTAGTGGGTGCAATAAGACGTAAACTGAAGGAGCTGAAGCCCCCAACACGACGTCAGTCACACCGCTGTCCGCCGGACGTGCGCTCACAGGAGGGCCCCACCAGCCACTATTTTTTGCCGTCGGTGGAACGCATTGGCAAGAAGACTTGTATAAACCACCGGCTGCTGTACATACCGGAGGTTGAAAACTTTCGGATGGTGGACGCTTTTTTCTTCATGGAGTCAAATCCAATGGCGCTGGTTGGGCTGCGGATGAATGCGGCGAGTGCGCATCACACCACCGCCAGCACTGTGAGGCAGTTCACTGAGTATCTGGCGGCATATTTTAATGGTTGGGACGAATTATCCCGAGACATTTTGTCGTGGGAGATTATTTACGTGCAGCAGGCAGACAATACGCCGAAGAACGAATGAAAGAGATGTGATGTTGTCAATTCCGATAATGTGAGCGACGAGAGCCTTGAGATTACGGCGTTCTGGAACGAAAAGGTACGTCAGTACCAAGTGTCAATATCATCCGAAGACGTCTCAAGAAGCCCTTAGAATTGAGGATAGTAATTAAAGGAATAAATAGGGAAACAAATTAGGGAATTGCGGGGGTAGTTTGAGTTCTGGTAACAAATATTGGGGCTTTTTTCATATGGTTGGATGCCTGTGTGTGCATACAGTGCAGATGCAGCAGCATCAGGTGGCAGCATCACACACGGATGCGGAAAATGTCCAACGCGAGCGATCATAACAGTGAACGAAGAAGAGATTATGGGGGAACGGGGTAGTTTGGTTTCTGGTAGAAAAACATTGCGGGTTGTTTCATACATGTGGATTTTTGTGTGTGCATACGAGGCATAGTAGGGAAATTGCTCTGGTATGAGAGAATGATTATGGCCAGCGGTGATGAAGTATGACTACATTGTTCATTTCCTCTTATTTTTTTGTTCTAAGGCCCATCATTAAACGAAGCATGTTTAGGGATTGGACGACGCATAAATTTTGTGGAAAAAGTGCACTCCTTGTGACCGCATGAAGTGAGGCGCCGCATCCCATTGAGGACGAGACGGCATTTTTGTGCTGGCGCCATCGTTGATTCCCCTTGCGATTTCATGCTTGAGTGCGACATCGTGGTGCCAGGGCCCAGCACTCCGTATTGCCGGGAAAAGCCAATTGCCAGCAATATTTCCCTCACGGGATCGTTGTTGGCGCAATGCAGAAGGCATCGACCGGCACCCGGACTACCTGCGTCGTGCCGGGACACAGTTGTGGCACCACGAGGTGTGAGGGCATGTGTTGCCGCAGCGCGGGCCATGTATTTGAAAAAACACGGGGGAGGACGACAGAGGCACAACTGTGCGTGCTGCAGCAAGTCGGCACTGATGCTCTTTTACTTTTTCGGCACTGGAAACTGAGAGGGTGTGTCCTGCGCCTGTTGCCAAGCACTCTCATAGCCACGTTTTGAATGGAGCGTGTTGTTGTTTCTCTGAAGCGGGCTCCGTGCGTCAACGCGACAGGGGAACACGGTTGGCGGTGGCAGGAGTTCTTTCCGGAACGGCACTGGAGTGCAGGGTTCCCAGAGTCTGTCGCTCGCCAAGGTGGGAACGGCTTTCAGGGATTGTCTCGAGGCTGCTCCTCAATGCCGTTGTTGTTGTTGACGGCGAATCGCTGATGGGAGGGCGAGAGATAGTGTGCTGTCGTGTGATTTCTCACAGTGGCACCCGTTGGAGCGATGCATGTGTGTTTGCCTTGCGGATGTGGTGTTTTTGATCCCTATTTCACGTTATTCGGTGGTGCAGCAGTGGACGGGGAAGTGATGCTGTCACGAGCTGCACGGGCGTGGTGGACACGGTTACGCGAGCCTGTGGAGGACCCAAGCAAATCAAAGTCTACCACGCGGTTTGGGTCTACAGGGAAGGAAGAAACAGTGGGTGGCTGAGGGGAGTTGCAATACACGCGGCTGCAGAAGATGACATGCGTTGCTGAGTTCACGTTGACTGCCACTTTGGGTGCTTTTTCTTGAGGCCGTGAATCCCTTCCTAATTTACTTGGAGGTGCTTGATGACACCAGACGTGGAAGGCATTTCCATTTCATACGAGGATGGCACACGGGAGAAAAGGAAAGAAAAGAGCGACGTCTCGCCAAAAGAGCGGCTGCTGCTGGAACGTTGACGAGAAACGGGATTGTTTGCACGGCCAGCTGCATGCCCTTGCAGGATTTTCCTTGAGGCGTTCATTGGCGCGAGAGTGAGGTGCACGCACGGGCAGGCACCGCAACAATCGTGTCGTTGGTTCTCCGTTGCACGAATGAGAGGATGCACATCAGGCGTGGCAGGTGACGCTCTTTGCGAGCCCTCCCACCGCCTCTTCCTTTCTCTGCTGTTTCACACCTTGGCATTTTCTGCATGTGAAAACCGCTCCCATTGGCCGCCCTCTGTGACACGGGAGTCGCCTGTATTCCTTTCTACCGCATTAAAGAGTCGTGAGGAGGGCTTGAGGGTGCGTTGAGGAGCCGTGTGGCCTCTGCGAGCATGTCCTCTGTTTTTCATAGGTGTTGAATGTTGGATTACCGAAACGCACCTTGAGTGGCTTGCGTTAGAGGCACGCATGAATGAGGGACAGGCGTGTTCGTGGAATTGAAGGAGGACCACGTCATTGGGAGGAGGAAGAGTGAATGGGTGGGTGGTGTCTGTGGCCCACATGTGGTGCCCGACTGGTGCTTCACTTTGTTTGGTGCTGTTATCATTTGCATCCACAAAGAATGGCATTGGGTGCTGCTTTTCCCAACTCTCTTACTGTGTCTGTGTGTTGCGTGTTTGTGGGCATGACTCTTCTTCCGTGCTGTGCATTTGCTGCGTAAGCTGTCGATGGTCTGTGTGAAATATGTGATGATTTGCGGCATTTTGTTGGATTGTGCTTTGATGTTTGCCGCGGGGTGACAGCCAGATTGGAGGCGTTGCTTTTTCTTTACTGTGATCACGTGCGGTGTGTATGGGAGGCCTCTCAGAAAAGAGCAAGTCGACATTTTTGTGAAACATATGTATGATGCCACATTATTTGTTGACGTGGAATGAGTTGGGATTTGCATATAATTTTCTGTGCATTCTTGCCGTGGTGCTCCTCATGCATGGCCCATGGAGACGACTGGCTGAGAATTGTCAATGGGCTTCTCGTTGAGTCGAGGGGAGCATAATTCCTTGTTTACTGATTGAGAGCCCGGGCGTTACAGATGATGCATGTGGCAGGCAAAACCTCGTGCATGGCTGAAGGAGAAGACTAAGGGCTGGTTGTTTTATTGTTAGCGACGAGTCCTGCCTCACTGCTTGGATGGGGCTGTCGTTGTCTGGGGCAACCTGTTTTGTGTGTCCAGACACTGCTTGCGCCGAGTGGCGAGGCGCCGTGTTGGTGTGTGCGGCACCGTCATGCGAATCAGCAGCGTGGCGTTTACGGACTGTGTGTCTGTGGGCTGATGAATGTGGCAGGAGGCGTGTCTGAGGGGAATCCGCGAACGAAGGAGTGACCTTCGTTTGGCGGTGCTGCTGTGCGATGTGCGAGGGAAGAAGAAACGCAATTGATTTCTGACATGTCTGTGGGTGTGCCACGGCCACCGATGAGTTCTCAGGGAGAGGGACAGGAGTGAGTGAGACGGAGACTCTGCACATCCACTGCGGCGTGTGGTGCGACAGGATGAGATTGCCATTGTGAAGGGCGCAACGGCCGCAATGCGTGCAGCAGAGCGTCACCTGCATCTTTGTGTCTGTCGAGCTTGCAGGTGCCGCGAGGAAGTGCAGACGACCTCTCATCATTGGGCTGCTGAGGCTGTTTTCCCTCTTTGCTCAGCGGGAGAAGCAACCCTTCCTGCAGGCGCTGTGCTGGTCTGCATCGGTGCTCCCCACGGGGCATCACGCCGCCGTGCCTTTGCAGTTCAACTCGCATTGTGGTTTTATTTTTACTAATTGGCCTTGTGTGCAGTGCAACGCTCGTGTTCCTCACTGCACACGTGGCCCCCTCTAATTTGTCTTTTTTGCAGGGCCATGGCCTGTGGTCCCCAACTGGGAGGCTGCTCGCTTTTTGAATACTTTATATTTATTTATGCTGTTGGGGTTACTGGGGAGTAATGGCTGCGGGGATGTTGATGTTGTGCTTTGCTTTGAGTGGTGGCGGTGTGTACCGTTGTTGTTGTCTTTCTGCCGCTGTTGCCTGTTGCTCTTCTCCAAGAAGGAAGTTAAACACAAGCGCGAATCGCCACTGTGAAATTCGAAGGCACTGAAAGGACCAACAGCACACACACCGCCCACACACATATTTGTATGCTCTCACGTGTTGCTGCTGTGGAGGCACCCCGCACACACAACCGTCGCCGCGTGACCGGATCCAGCGGGAGGAGGAGGGAAGGAAGAGAGAGTGAGCCGCAGAGGCCCAACATGTCCCGGCGTGTGTTTGCTTCCGCGGTGCTACTCCTCCTCGTCGTGATGGTGTGCTGCGGCAGTGGTGCTGCGGGAGTTGCGGGGCAGCCATCAGAGCCAAGGTTTCAATGGAGGGGCATCAATGAGAGTGGAGATGAAACTGTGGACTCGTTGGGTGCTCCCAGCCTTCTAAAAGTGGGGAGTGACGTATTTGTCGTTGCCGAGGCGCAGTGCAAGAACGGTGGTGTCAGTTTTACTGGCGTTGCATCTCAAGTTCTCACGACAAAAACTACTGACAAGCCGGAGGAAGCGCTGACGGATCCCAAAGCTAAGACACAATTACTGGAGGAAGGCACTTCCACAGAGGTGAAGAAAGTGGATGTGAGCCGACCAACAACAGTTGTGAAGGGAAATGATATTTACATGCTTGTTGGAAAATACAGCCGGAAAGCTGTCACTGGTGTTCAGGAGAGAGATGCAGTTGACTGTGGATTTTTGCTGGTGAAAGGGGAAGTCGGTGGTGAAGAAAGTGGCGGTGGCAAAGGAATCCAGTGGAAGGATACCAAAAGTCTCCCGCAGACACCTTTCTGCGAGCAACACGAATTTTTAACAGGACTGATTGGTAGCGGTGGATCGGGTGTTAATATAAATGACGGTACGCTTGTGTTCCCAGTGGAAGGGACGAAGAATAATGGGAAGAACGTTTCGCTGATCATATACTCCTCAGACATTGCGACTTGGACGCTGTCGAAGGGGATGTCTGACGATGGCTGCAGTGTTCCCTCCGTCGTGGAGTGGGAGAAGGACAAAAAACTCATGATGATGACTGCGTGTGATGACGGCCCTCGCAGGGTGTACGAGTCCGGTGACAAGGGGGAGTCGTGGACGGAGGCACTCGGGACCCTCTCGCGCGTGTGGGGCAGCAAAAAAAGGGATAAAAACGTGAAACTCGTTAGAAGCGGGTTCACCACAGCGACGATCGACGGTGTCGATAGTGATAAGAGAACTGTGATGCTCGTTACTCTGCCGGTCTACTCCAAAAAAGAGAAAAATGGAAACAGCAATGGAAAAAGTGTACTCCATCTTTGGCTGACGGACAATACGCACATTGTTGATATTGGGCCGGTATCCGATGATGAGGACGCTGCCGCCAGCTCCCTGTTGTACAGAAGTGGTAAGGATGGTGATGATAAGAAGGAGGAGTTGATTGCACTTTACGAGAAGAAGGGCGGTGAGAAAGAAACATCACCCGGTATGGTCTCTGTGATTCTGACTACGCAGCTGGAGCGGGTGAAGGAGGTGCTGAAGACATGGAATGAAGTGGACAAACGTGTCTCCAAGCTGTGCCCTTCTGAGAATGCTAAGGAGGATCCCTCACCTGCCACTGCCTGCGGCGCCGCCATTCCGACGGATGGGCTGGTTGGCTTTTTGTCCGGCAAGTTCTCTGATGGCAGATGGAGGGACGAGTACCTCGGCGTGAACGCCACAGTAAAGAAGAATGATGGGGTGGAGAAAAAGGAAAATGGCGTAACATTTAAAGGGCGTGGTGCGTGGGCGGAGTGGCCTGTTGGCGCGCAGGGGCAGAATCAGCTGTACCACTTCGCGAACTACAACTTCACTCTTGTGGCGACGGTGTCCATCCACGGTTTGCCAAAGGACGGAGATAACTCCATTCCATTGATGGGTGCGAAGGTGAATGATAATGGGAAGACTGTACTCCTGGGACTGTCGTACAACAACAAAGAAAAGAAATGGATGCTACTGTGCGATGGCAGAGAGAACAAGTGGCTCAGCGGCCCTTGGGAGCCAGGGAAAACACAACAATTGGCCATTGTGCTACAGAACGGTAACCAGAGCACCGCGTACGTCGATGGTGAGCGCGTGGGGGGCGAAACGTGTTCACTGGAAAATACGGAGTCAAACGAGATCTCGCACTTCTACATTGGAGTGGGTGGAGGCGACGCAGAAAGCCGAGAAGAAGTGTCCGTGACTGTGAAGAACGTCCTGCTGTATAACCGCCCGTTGAATGAAGCAGAAATTGGTGCCCTCAACCCGAATAAAGCCTCCATTCCGCCTCCGGTAGGTGGAAGTGCGCAAGGAACATTGTTGCAATCTCCTTCTGACGGGCAACCGCCGTTGGGGCGTGAATCGTTGAATGAAGATGGGGGTGTGGGCAGTGGCGGTGTATCCACGTCAGCAGTTTCCACCGCCACTCCGTCGGCAGGGGAGGGTTCTGTAAAGCAGTTGGCGTTGCGAACATCTTCCGGCGGAAGTGAAAACGTGGATGTCGTTTCTTCACCCGATGGTGATCCAACGGTGGGAGCGGAAGCTGGAGATACGGTGCCGGGAGACAGACCACCTCAAACTTCTGCGGGCACTCCCGCCACAGCAGGCGCAAACGCTCCTACCGCTGAAACCGAGGGACAATTTGACCCCGCAGTGACAACTGGGGTGAGCGTGAGCTCCGGTGAGAGTGGGGAGACGGTGGGAGGAAGGGATGGGCAGGAAGATGTCCATTCACGGGTCAGGGAAGTTAATGCCACGGCACCCAGCAGCAGCCTCGGAAATGTGTCGCAGGGGAATAACAGCGATGCTGGCACTATGCGTGAGAGCGGACTGCTGCCGCTGCTTCTTTTGCTGGGAATTTGGGTGGTTTCGGCTCTGTGAGGAGTGACTGGCTGCCGCGTGGGACAATTGCGACCTTCCGAGCACAGAATTACTTCTCCGATAACAATTATCTCTGATACTTTATTTTCTTGCATTATGTGCGTTTTTAATATATATTTTTTGCTTTTCAGTACTCTTTTTAATGTTTCACTTCTTTTTTTCAATTTTTCTGTTTGCTTTTTTTATCTCATGATCCCCTATCCCTTCTTTTTTTCTTTTGGGGCAATCACTATGGACGTTTTTTTCTTTTCTACCTTTTAATTGTTTCTGCTGCACTCTTCCTGTGAGGGGTGCCGTGTGTTTCCCGCCCAACTACTCCACTCGCACACCCACCGACACGCGCATGAGGAGGGGCCGCGACGAACGGCGCGCTGAGGGAGCCGTGACGTGTGGGCGTGCGACGAGTGCCTGTGGGGCGGAGCACACATTTATTCCCTCTTGTTTTGTTTTCTTTGCGGCCAGGGTGGGCAGACACCCGCAGCGCCACACACACAGCCACGCCCTGCCGCTTTTAAAAAGTAATTTTGCTTGCTCTCTTTGACTTTCTCACTGTGTGTTTGTCTTTGCGCTGGCGCACCCCTCGGTGTCGGCCTCGTGAGCATTTCTTTCCCTCCGATGATGTTTTTTTTTGCTGCGCTCGCTCTCCCGATGGAGTGACGCGACTGCCGTCATGTCTGCGTGCTTCTCTCAGTCCACACGCACACGAGTGACTGTGCTCTGCGGGCCGCACTCACGCGCCGATGAGAGGGCTGAGGGGAGCAGCAACACGCAGATGACCCCGTGAAATATAAACGATGTGCGGACACATGGAGGGTCGGACGGTTGAAAGAAATTTAAATATCTTTTAATTTTATTTTCGGACAAAATATGCAGACAATTTCTGGAGCAACATGGTAGTCGGGTGCTTTTTTTTCTTTTTTTCTTTTTTTTCCAAAGTGTGAGGGGTGGAAAGGTGAAGATGAATTTTTTTAAATTTTAATAATTTTTTAATGAATTGCCGCTGCTTTTTCTGCAGTGCAATATCATGAGCTTGAGCAGTCTTTTTTTCCTTATTTCTGCCATGCGCTTCTGCTGTACATTTTTGCTTGTGCGTCCCTCCACATGCTCTGCTCCTCCTTTCCACTTCTTTGCCCCGTGTGTCTGCAGGCACACACAACCACATGCACGCACAAGATGCACATTGCAGTGGATTTGGATGCTTCTTTTATGGCGTGTGCTGGGAGTTGCGGGTGACTGCTGCTTCCTCCGTGGGGATGAAGGGAGGGGAGGAGAGAGAGCGCGCACCGCGAGTCACTCTTCCTGCGGGTGTGATGCGCGCGATGGGCTGCGACTGCTGTGGAGGGCCGCATCCTTTCGGTGTGCGCTTCCCCGCCGTCGTGCCGTGTGTTTGCGCATGTTATTTGTTATGCGAGTGCGTGCTGGGCATGTGTTTCCGGAGCGTTGGGCGGCCACCATTCTTTTGCGGTTTGTGTGAGTGGGCACGTGCGGATGAGGGTCAGGGCGCATGGAATGAGGGAATGGCTTGAGGAAAGGGGAATTTGATTTGGAGGGTATTTGGACCGGATTCATTTGGCTGCGGTGGACACATGCACGACGGATGTGTTTCCGCATAATGGGGGAGGATGCGACAGGGTTTTCCGAAGTGGCCCGTCAATGCAATATGGGTTTCGTAGCACTGGGGCACAGTGGTCTTCCTGCAATGGCTGGTGACGGCCCCTAGTGGACCGGTGTATTTATGCGGCTGCTGCTGCTGCTCGAGGAGGCGTAGAAGTGCGATTTGAGGTGAGCGGCGGAAGGGCCACACATCCCGCAGTGATGGGCGTCGTTGGCCCACCGGGTGCCTCTGAAGGTTTTGTTGGATGCAACGTCCTTATGCCCGTCTCCGGATGGCGGCATCCCTGATGCAGCCAACGAACGGGGCTGCGAGCGAAGGTGAGACGCAAGCACGTGTGGATGTTCGGAGCGGCCGGCGCACCGCACGCTGAGCGCATGGCACGGTGAGGACCGGACCCAGAAAAGGGACACCGCGTGGGACGTCAATCTTCACTGCAGCGACCGCCACCGAATTCGGATTTGCTCGCACCTTCTGCGGTCCTTCTTCCTCCCCTCACTTCTGTGCCGAGGACTGTGTCGCGGGATCCAGCAGCGCGATGTTTGGCCGCAAGAACATGGCCCGAACAAATGATTTGTGGGAGGGGGATGTGCACTGCGACGAGAAGGAAGAAAATGTTGCGAGGCGACCACCACGACAAGACCGGAGTGAAGTTGTGTTTTGTCCACTTGCGCGTGGGCGGCCTGCCACCTGGTCGGTTAGGAGGATTATTTTTATTGCGTCGTTATGCTCTATTTTTATTCCGCTGCGTTTTCATGCAGACCTGCGAAGGGAGATTTGCAAGAAATTTCTGCGAGACGTCCGTGCCGTCGTCGGGAAAGCGGATTCTCCCTGAAAAACGCTACTTTTTAAATTTGTTTTGGGCGGGGAGTTCCTGTCGATTCACTGCGACTTTGTTTTGCGGATTTGAAGCGTGTGTTTCCGAGCGGTTCGATCTGCGTCCCCGGCCCACTCGGATGTGGTGTGCGCGTCGACGTGAGGGTGCCTGTCAGCCGTTTTATTGCCTCCCCTGCTGTGGCTGCCGCCGTTGCCTTCCTCCCTTCCTGAGGTCCTGCGGCTTCTTGACAAGATGTTTTGGAGAAGGCGTTGCCGCTCTTATCGTCCATGGTATTTTGATTCTGGTGTTGCGGTCAGGAGAAATTGAACGAGAGGGTTTGCTGCCCTCTTGTTTTATTCGTCCTCTCTGCCTGACGGCCAGTTCTACACAAACGTGCTCCTCGGCACCTCAGTTGGTGCTGGCGGGTTGCTCACAGTTGTCGCTGGCAATCGCATGCGCCAACTCTTCTCTGCTCCTTTTCAGTGTCGCTTTTTTTTTATTGATTGACGGACTTCATTCTGTCCGGCGTGTCACTTTGATTGGATTGTGTGGGATTGCTCGCCGACGCCATCGGAGAAAGCAGACCGACTTTTTACGCATTTAATTCTATCCTGCGCGCACGTTTTTTTTTACTTGTACTGTTGATGTGCACTCAAACAGCAAGGTGTCCGGAACTATGCGTGCGTGGAATTTGTCCTGCCATGTGAACTGCGGGAAACACCGAGGGGCTGCCACTTTGACTCCGCAGAGTTGTTGTGTCTCTTCACAGGGCTGGTAGGGAAATTTCATGCCTTCTGCTACTGCTGGTGTGTTCTCAAATGTTGTCACTCCATGCGAATAATGTGCTTCAGCGAGTGAGGGTGATGATTGGGTTTGTGTGCACTCTGATTCTGTTTGCTACTTTGTGCGGGCATGCAATACTTGAGTGGTGGGAAAATGGAGCGGGGCGATGCATGGCTGCGTCTCGCCCATTGCTCACTGCACGATGGTGTGGTGCACATTGTGGTGCTGACTCTGCGATGTGACTGCGGTCTCCTGTGCGGCAATGGTGGTGGGTGGAGGAGAGTGTTGATCCGCGGCGGGACGGTGGGATCGTGCCTCCTTTTCTCTTTGTTTCTTCCCTTTTTGAAGGTGTGCACTTATTTTTGGTGTCGGTGATGGGGCAAACAGACCGACACCGTGAATAAAACAAAATGAAAAAGGGCGGTAATGTGGCGGTGTTGTGGTTCGTTGCACGCCTCGTGTTGCTGCGGGGGCGGTGGGCCTCGGCTGTTTCACCGACAGGCGTTGCAGTGCGGCTGCATGGCGCACCGACCACCGAGCCGTGCGAGTGCCACGCCCAACGTCATTGGGACTGCGGGAGGAAACAGCCGCGACTGTACTTTGGGGCCAGCGGCACCTGCTGGCCGCAGTTGGGCGGTGCGAGTGGGATGCCTCACCGCACGGGTGTTGTGATGGCACCTCGCCGTGGCTCTTGTGATGTTTCCGACGCTGCAGCTCGACGTGTGGCGGGGAGTAGAGTGTGGCCGCAGTGGACCATGAACAGCACCAACATGAGGCTGAGTGATTTCCTTTGGAATTATGTTGGCGGCAGGGCGGCTGTTGATGAAAGACTACAATGTGACGATGGAGATGTTTGCTCGGGAGCCTGATGATTACGTACAAGACCAGCGGCTTCTTGAAGAAATTATTAACCTAACTGCGCACCAAGCGCTGGAGGCCACTACTAAGCCTCTTCACGAGGATGTGTGTTCTCTCGAGCAATGGAGGGACTATGAAGGAAAGGATACGGTCACTCCTCCTGCAAGGGGAAAACCAAACGGGGTACTCACGCAGGTACTGACAGGAGCGAGGCGGGAGGCAGAGGAAAGGCTAAGACAAACGCAGGAAATGAAGTTTACCATTTCCACTAATATCGAAGAGGTACTGTTTAAAGGAAGAGTTCGCGTCAATGAAATGAGGCTGAACGACTTTCTTACGAGGGAACTGGGCGGCAGGGGCGTTGTGGACACCAATCGGGATGTCTTGCCGGAGGAGTTTTTCAAGGACCCCGCGAAGTATATCCGTGATAAAGGAGCACTGAACGAAATACAGGCATCAGGTCATTGTTTTAGTATGAAGCGAGCTGTAAAGGGTGAATTGATCTTCGACGAGGATATACGCAAGCTATGCGATAAGGGCGTCAGCAATCTACCGGGGTGGTCATTAGCTGCTGTGGAGGTAACAGCAACTGTTCATAACTCCACTAAACATTTCTTGGATGCAGCTGCCGAGGAGGCGAGGAACCCAACGACGACGATTGTAGCGATAAAACTGGAGGGAGTGTACGAGTCTGTGTACAATGCGATTTGGCACCATGTGGTGGAAATTCCCGACGGCGTGGAGCGAACGAAAGCGGGGACGGGAATGGAGGTGAGGGAGGGGAAACCGAAACAGTCATGGACGTACAAGAAAGTTGGCAACACCTTCGAAAAGGATGACGCTGTGCAGCAATCCGGTGAAGCACCTCCCAGGCTGATGGTGCTTACCTCGGACAAGGGATGGCCGTACACGCTGAGTGTGCTGAATGGGTGTGGCAATGACTTGTGTGTTAACTCTGAGGTGGAGCGAGTGTGGCAGATCGTCAAGGGCGATCTAACTAAGTGGTTCAGCAATTTTGATTTGACTCTCAATCCTTCACCTTTGCCGCATGTGTTGATTGGGACGCCCGGGATCGGGAAGTCGATGGCTGCCGGCTCGTACCTCCTCTACCAGCTGCTGCACTACGATGCGGAGAAACTCCAAGTGGTTGTCCACTGTTTTGGAATCACGATGTACGTGTTTGACAAGAACACCAAAACCGTGACAAAATACATGGGTAACATAACATCGAAGAGTGTTTTGGGTGGTTTGTGGCAGCGTGGGATGAAAGGGTATATTATTTACGATGTGACAACGAAAGGAACACCGCCCGACGCAGGTTTTGCGCCCTCTACTGGATGGGGCATGATTGTGGTGTCATCGCCAAACCTGGACAACTATGATGAGTGGGCGACGCAAGTAAGAGCCAGTCGAATCATCATGAATTGTCCCGACGAGATGGATGTGAAGGCGATGTGTGCATGGATGGAGCGCGGTCTGGAACCAGATAGGCAAGCGGGATACTGGAAGATGGTCAAAGAACGCATGGAAAAATTTGGACCGATTCCGCGTCACATCTTTGATGAGAAAATTTATATTAATCGCTTGGGTGCCGTTGATGTTGCCTTGCTAGCAATCAAGGATACTGATGTTAAAGAGTATTTTTCCATGGGAGGAGAGAAAAAATGGTATTCCGAGGATCCGTCTCACAAACTTGTGAAGATCGTCCGGGAAAGAACAGAAAAAGGAGCTGAGATATTTCTGAACGCACCGATATGTGATGATATCGGGTTTCGAACTGCGGAACGTTTGGAAAAGGAAATGGCTACGAAGGATCTTTTGTTGCTAATATTGGGATCGCGTGGTGCTCTTGCTTCCCGAGCTCTGGAACAATTAGGTTTGTGCGTATTCATGTATGGGGAGCTTGTCTGTGCATTAGTAGAGGAACTCAAGGAGCTGAGTTCAGCAAAACGTAATGAAGCACAGGATTCAGTGCTGAAGGTAAACCATCAAGGGCACCCCACTCGCACCGTTGGATTAGCGGGACTGGAAGGCGGTGTCACGAGGACTGCGATGGAGTACGGGGTGCTGTACTTACCGAAGGTTGAAAACTTTCCACTGGTGGACGGCTTTTTCTTCATGGAGTCACCGCGGAGGACGCTGGTTGGGCTGCAGATGACTACGGCGAGTGCGCACCACACGACAACCAGCACCGTGAAGCAGTTCACTGAGCATCTGGCGGCATATTTTGAAGGATGGGACGAATTATCCCGAGAAATGTCGTGGGAGATGATTTATATAAAAAACGCAGACAGCACGCCGATGAAAAAATGGCAGAGATGTGATGTCGTCAATCCCAATAATGAAACCGACGCTGAAAAAAAAATTGTGGCCTTCTGGAATAAAGAGGTACACCAATACCAGTTTATGTTAACACGTGATTTTTTAAGTAAAATCACAGAAATGTGAACACAATAATCTTGGGGGAAAAGGGATAGGGAAGAAAGTTGGGGAAATAATTGGGGAACAGAGTGCATTTTGCTTATAGTGAAATATATTGGGAAGTATTTTAACGATTTTTATGTGTGTGTGTGCCTACGAGGTCTTGACAGTGAATGCCTTTCTTTTCAGAGAACCGTTTTGTTCGGCAGTGCCACACTCACCACACCCTCTTTTCATTTTATTTTATTTTATCCACCAGAGGCGCATCGCCACTGGAGGCTGTTGCGCACTACAGGGGCCGCATAATTTTCCCTTGTATTTATGGGAGTTTGTGAGAAGAATGCTTGAGAGGGCGGCGGGCTGCCCAAATAAATTCATATCTCGCGCAAACGAAGATATCTCTCCACAACTTTTTCCTCTTCTATCGCACTGTCTTTTGGGAGACCGCGATTGAGGCAGTCAGGGAGCCGACAGCTGTAAGACGAAATTATTATTATTTATTTTTTTTGCCTTCCCACCCACTTTGTGATCCCCACCTTGTGGGTGGAGGAGCCCAAAGGCCTGCCGCCTCGCAGGGGATAAGTGTTTCTAATTCTAACTGTGCGCAGCAGCCCACGGCAGTGATTGACAGAATGTGTATATATTTTGGGGAAAACATTACGGCGAGCTCATTGCCTCTCCATTTACCGCTTTTTTTTCCTGTCCTTTTTGGATGATTTCAGAATCCGGCCAGCGGCCTAGAAGATTATTCAGTGTTGTTTCCCTCTCGGTCTCTCTCTTCTTTGCTTTTCTTTCTGTCTTTGAACTTCCTGTGTGTGCATGCAAAAAACGCACAGCGCAGCATTCAATGTGATATTCTCCCAATGGAGGCGAAAGCCGTTTCTGCTCCCACCAAACCACGACGCCGTCCTCGCAGCTCCCCGCGACAGTGCGGGTGGACGGCAACACGGCGCAGTTCAATTGCCCCCAGCTCCTGAGGGATGCCGGATTCGCGGTTGCTGGGGCCCTGTTTGACGTCGATGTGGCGTTGGACGGGCCGGACGCAAGTACACTCTTCCGAAAATTGTGTGCCACTGCCGCCCCCAACTTTACTCAGGAACGCAAGAACATGGTGGCCCTCAGCTACGGCGTTCGTTTGTCACCAAGGCGACAACTCATGTACGGCTCTGCAGCTGGAGAAGTATATGCTGCTTGCGTCATCACTGAATTTATTCGGCTGGGCGCCAAAAAGGGCATTTTTGCCCTCTCGTGCTACGCCATTGGGTCAACAGAGCACCGCGCAGACCTTCTTGACGCCGACAACGAGCTCGGAGTTATTGTGGGCTCCCTGAAGGAGGGACCTCGTGTGCGAATGGTGGCACGAATTTGTGTCTCATTGGCCGGCGAAGTTCGAGCGGCGATGGACACTATTGTCAAAAACTATGAGAAATACTTTTTCCCCGTGCTGTGTGAAAAGCAGCCAATGCCTGAGCTGGAGGCAATGCCTTCTTATTTGCCCGACACCGTCGTTTTTCAGCTTTACCACGATGATGGTGAGGCGGAGTTTGCAGATTACATGGATGCAAACTCCCTGACATTTGTCGCCTTGGGAGATGCCGAACGGCTCGTCTTGTGTGGCATTGATGCCACCGCGCAGCTACACCACGAAGGGGCCCAACGAGCACTGGTGTCGGCAGCAGGAATTGTCTCCGGCATTCGCCGCCGTCGTCTGTGCATTCCCTTCGGCATGTCAGAACTCAGTCAGTTGTTGCGCCGAGCGTACAACACGGAAAAGGCAACCGCAACAATAGCCTCACTGGTTCTACCGAGACGGTTTTATTGGCTCACGCCTTTTTGGATGCCGTGTGGGCGGAGGAATCGTTCCATTGTCTCGACCGGAATTGAATCCGCCACAAGGGATCTTGCCGTTGACAAGTGGCGTCTTGATCAGGACATCATGAAGTTGCTGGATGAACTCATGACTGCCCGGGCCGTGTACGACTACAGGCATTTTGGCTATGAATCCAACAGGCCCATTTCAGGCATGGAGGAGGAAGCGATGAAGCGCGTCAACGCCATTGAGAGCAACCGTGAGGAGGCGCGGGAACGGCAGCTGAGTGTGTTTTGCGAGCGCACCAAGCATGAGGCGGAGAAGATGATCAAAGAGCTTGAGCGGAGAGGTGGGGCCACGTTGGACGAACTTGAGAGGACTCTGGAGGCGAAAAAGCGGGAGAGCAGTGCCCTGCAGGCTGACCGCGAAAGCCGCATTTGGGAGTACGAGCAGACGTTGGAGAAGATCCGAAAGAAGAAACAGGACGAGGAGAGTGCCTCGGAGAGGTTGCGGCAGGCGATGCAGCAGCCGGAGCAAGAACTCGGCCTACGGCAGAGCGCCATTGAGACGAAGGAGCAGCAGCTCGAGATGGTTCAACTTGACAGGGCGAGGGGGCGAGAGACCGTCATGCGGGAGCGGCATTCTATTGAGGCGGTGTGAAAGACCGTCCGGGAGGAGCGGTGTCGCCAGCGAAGGCAGTGGATCCATCAGATTAAGGAAATGAATGCAAAATTCCCGGAAGAGGTGCGTCCCTTGGCCGAGGAGCGGAAGAAGAAGCGTGAGCAGGCGACAGCCAAGGAGGACGCCGCCGAGAGGGCTCTTGCAGCCGACGTCAAAATGATCGAGGGGTATTTGCCGAAGCTCATTTCCCTTGAGGACATTCCTGTTAGTCCGGAGGAGACGGACATCATTCGACGCCAGTTTGACGAGGTCTTCGCGCAAGAGGAGCAGACATACTTGGCCAGCGCTGAAGAGGAAAAGGCCCGCGAGGAGAGGCTGGGACGAGGGCTCGAGGTGTATCGACAGCGTATGCTTGATGACTACGTGGCAAAGAAAAATGGAAAACTGCATGATGCCGAGGCAACGGAACACCACCTCAATTCTGTTGTGGATCAGGTGCTGAATTACTTACGCAACGGGGTCCGCATAACAAAGATACCGAGCAAGGGCAATGCTTGCAGACGCCTATATTTTCTCTTGGAGGACTGCAAACGTATTCATTCCTGTGATCTGGACCATCAGGGATTCCCGTTAAATCGCAAACGGCCTCCAGTCACCATGTGGATACGTGACATCGAAAAAGTTCTCATCGGCCTGTCTACAACCTCATTTGTGAACTACAGCGGCGAGGCACAGCTGGCAAAGACACGCCAGGAGGCAGTTTCTGACAATGGGACGCACCGCCATGATGCCACGCAAAACATCATTCCGTCCAGCCTTGGAGCAAACAACCACCGCGCATTTGCACTTTTGCTTCGCGGTGGGGAATCATTGGAGGTGGTTTGTGAGACTGACAGCGATTGCGAGGCTTGGCTTGTTGCTCTCAAGCGTCCACTGCATTTGAGGACTCCTGCGGAAAGACTTCTTGAGGAGCGACGGGGTACGTGAAGAGACGCACGTGCGCAGCCGAGCGATAATGACGTGGAAATGCGGTGGGGCGGCCACTTGACACCCGCAATATGCGAGGATTTGTTTCTTTGGCCCCCGATGCAGCGACTCGTTGCGGCGAGGATCACATTCCGCCAGCCCTCTTCCTTCGGGTGAAACAGGAGCTGGCGGAAAAGTCTCAAAGGAGCACAATAACCGCATATGAGGTCCGGGCTTGCTCGGGCCTGAATCTCTTTTGCTCTGGCCGAATTTACGACTACTTGTGCGAAAAGCGTGTCGTTCCGCCTCCGCACTAATGCCGTGGGATCTTTTATTGTTTTTCTCTATTTTTTTCCCCATGGCTATTTGTGGTTTTCTTGTGTGCTCTTTTGGATGTATTGAGGCGGCTGGTTGGAGAGAGGCTAACTGCCGCACAATTTTGTGTGAAAAGGACTTTTGAACCCCACGTGTTTGGGTCATTAGCGAGTGAAGGGAAGAAAAAAGGAAATGATGGTCACCACCAGTACTACTACTGCTGCTGTTTTTTTCCTTTTCTTTGCTGCCGCTTTTAAGTGGGCTATCCATCATTTCTTGTGGGTGTTCCACACTCTTCTTCTTTTTTCCTCTGTTTCTGGATGCGTTTTTTTTTTTTTTTTTTTAGCACCGCCGTGTGGG